AAAAACACAGTGTGAGCAGCTTGCCTCACTCTGATGCCCTGCCCACATTATCCGGTTCTCCTGGATCACTAGCTCTTGCCCGGCAGGCTTGGTTCCATCAAACAACCCCACGCTGACAAATTCAATGTTCCCGCCTGTGCCTCTCTGCCAGTTGAGAATATCATAATAGGGTATGGTGTCGCCCTTCAGATCAAAGTTCACTTCCTCCCCAGCAATTTTAAATGTCACTTCCTGTAGGTAGTACTGGAGCTTGAAAATTGATAGATCATATGAAGTACTCATAAAAAAGAATCAAACAATGTTTACAGTGCAATAACAGTAAAAAGAAATAAAATATACCTGCCAGGGGTGTATGTTGTTGCTTTGAGCACATGAGTTGTTTTGGAAAGGGCCACTGCCTGGTTGACAGAGAAGGAGGTTGTGCAAGGAATGAGCAATTGCATATACAGCTTTATAGACATTATAAGCCACTCTAGGGCTGGATGTATTCGTGTAGGCTGAATGCTGCTCCAACAGAGACTCCTGCCCTGAGCAGGGCGGCAACTGGGAGCCAGGTGACAAAGAAGGGCTGCAACCATACAGGGCCTCCCACAGCTCCTTAACTAGGACATTATTGGGATACATCTGAGGGTTGACTGTCTGCAGATAGTCACTGAGTCTGGAGATATGACCTTTTCTGATGGCAAACCCAATGGTGCCCCCTAGGTAGGGGTAATACTCATTCCCTGTAAAGATAGATGCTGTGACCCAGGCCTCGCTAGCCACCCACTGGATTCCAGTGATGTTTTGTGTCATGTAGTCCCTCAAGAATGGTGTCATCTCCCCCTCGGCTGAGAATACCACCACCACTTTTGCTAAAGAGCTATGCATCACCTTTACAAGGGGCATGTGATGGAGTGGGTAAAAATTCCACAAGAAAGAGAGAAGGCAAAAAAAGCAGGTTAAAATTATTTAATTATTTAATTAAAACTATAATGTGAATTAATTGCATGGTTTTCCTATGTCACTAAATGTGGAATTGAACATTTCTAAATCTGGCAACAGCTAGTGATATTAATAAAACAAACAAAAAAAAAAACACTGTGGCAAACAGCAATGCCACCTCCCCCTCCACTCCAAGGATCCAACCTTGGAAAACTAAGACAAATGGGCTGAAAGCAAGACATAGACTATAGCAAATTTCACCATGATTGTATGATTTGTATGACATAATAACATAAAAAAAATTCCCCACCTAGGGACCTTACTGGCAATGATGTATAACCAGCATCCACTATAAATGGGACTCAAGGTGATAGTAGCTCAGCATGTCTTTTTATCTACCTGCATGATCTCCAGGGCCCTCTGGCGATTGTAGAGCAGAGGGATCATTTCTTGGTATGCTTCACACACTGCAGTACCCTGTAATTCTCTTAGTAAACCTTGGACAGCGAAGCGCCCATATTCATGGTCCCCGCGCACCAGCCCAACCCAAGTCCAGTTGAAGCGTACAAGCAGCTGAGCAATGGCTTTCACCTGTGTTCAACATAAATGAATGCCAGTTTAGTTGGTCTCAAAAAACAGACATCTTTTATAAATAAACTTAAGTAACATAATTTTAATATTACATGTTTATTAGTATTAATGCTGGTAAATGATAAAACCATAATAAAAATATAATAGTAATATTATTGCAATATTTTGTGTTTAGTTATTTGGTCAGACAATATATCCACAGCACTCTAAAATTATCAAGCTCTTTTTAAATCCAGCCAAACTCTCACTTGATAGTCATCATTAGGGATAACTCTGAAGAAGGTGGGATATTTTCTTCTGTCAGTGAGACATGCACATGAAGAAAAGTAGCTGATCTGTGTGAAAAGAAAAAATCCAGAGTATAGTAAAACACATAATAGGGTAACATGCTAATGTTTTGGGGGAATTACAGGGGAAGATAGTCATCATTACCATTGGGATTCTGAATGGTCGCAAGATTCTTGACACCACAATAGACTCAGCAGAGCCAGATTCCCCAATTACAGCAAGGAGAGGAGAGGCACGTTTACACATAGGAGAGTCTTCCTCCCTCAGCCCGTTCAAGACAGCCAAAGAAGCTCTCTGAGCAGTCAGTGGATATGCACAGGAATCAAAGATTTTGTACCCAAGGGTGAAATTGGGCAATAGCTCTGCACTCTCGTTTATCTCCTCTATCGCCAGCCTCATAGTCTGAGCCCAGCGGAAAGCCTTAGGATCAAAGCTGTAGCCCAGCAGACACAGATGCACATCAGTCAGTAAGAACTGAAGAAGCTTCTTGCATGAAAAGCAAAATGCCTTCAAGAAACCCAAGTGAGTCCAGTTGCCTACAATATAGCACTTAGAATTTTCTAATATGTTACCGAGATGTGTCCTTGGTAATGCTTTATTTTACAGGTGATTTCCAAGATGTTAATTCAAAGAGTCATGTAATTTGGAACAAATTTAAGCCAACAATAGATACAGTGTCCAATTGGTACATTTCCAAGTTATCAATTCACATTAACTACTTGACTAATGTCGAGCAAATTCCAATGTTCCAAATACAAATAGTACCAAATTACATAGTTCTTTCCAGTAAACTTATTAGGAAATTATTTGCAAAGTACTATGGAATCACACACCCATAAAATAAAGCATTACCACGACTAATTGATTGCATCTCTCTTTCTCTTTATTTTCTGGAACCTAAATCTCTATTCAAACTCAAAGAGCAAGTCAGTTTAAGCCATAACTGTTTATATTAATGTTTTCTAACATGTCAAGCTAAATTATCACTGTGTAGCATACTGCAATCATAGTCATACGCTGCATAATCTCTTCATTAAAACAAGAGTTGTGCAAACAAATGTGTTTGTACAACAATCAAACACCTTTTTTATTGTACACAGTTGGTTAAACACATCCACTATGATTTCTACATCTCTCAAACTCACCCATTGCACTTTACCGGTGGTGGTCTGTAGGTGCAGTTTAGATCTGGCATCTCCTGGTTATAGTGAAAGGTGAAGATACCCCCAATGATAAAGTCACCTTTGGCCACAAATCCTGGCTGAAAGCTGTTCTGAAGTGTGCACACTTTGGATGGAGATAGTGGTGGAGAGGTGAAGCTGGACATTGGCTTATACATTGTAGAGAAGACACAGAGAGAGTAAAGCAAGGTAAACAACACACGTAGAGTCATATTGTCAAATTTCTCCAAAGAGGGGGAAGAGAGCCGAGAGCAAGAAATTAACAAGTTATATACAGTATGTGACCCTCTCAATCTTGCATTTTATTAACAACAGAGTGACGTTGGATCAGCAGCCCCACCTGATTTGTTTTCCAGTGTGAGTTAATGCAGACTGAATGATGAAAATTAAAAAAAAAGGGAACACAACAAAAAGAAAAAAAAAACTGTCTACTCAAATTCCACTTCATTGGGCATACCTAATTAAAACAAATACAGTATGTGTAATCCAAATGCAAATGCAAATAGTTTGTGCAAATAAATTGCACGTCACTTTATAAATTTGAGCCCATCCACCTCAATAAGCCTGTCCACACTGAATCCAAAACTTTATCTTTTTTTTGTAGTGCGGTCTTTTTTTTTTTCACTTTTTACCCCTATTTTTGCAAATTCAGATGCTGATGAAAACAAGTCAACCAATAAAATGATGACTTTTGCTCATGTGATCAATAGTATTCCTCTGATGTCAATATCATAAATCTCTTTATACTGTCACACAACAATATGGATATTGATCTTGCAAAATAGTGTTACTTTTGACAAATAAAATGAAGGTTATAAAGACAACAGTTGTAATCTCCTTACAACCGTAAGTATTTTTGTTCCATGAACCAGGAATGTACCCTGAGACTTTTTAAGAGAGAGAAATTTTAAGAGACTTAACAGCTAATCTGACCATTTTAGAGTAGTTTGAAATAAAAATCTTACATCAGGGATTTTCAAAGTTTTGTTGACCAAATGACATTTTAGGGAGTCAACATATGACTAAGGGCCACACAGGAAAAGTGCACACCAACATATCATACAACCATGCCTTAGACATCCTAGAAAAATGCACACTCCACGTTTTGCATGATATCCTATAAATTTGTGCACAACGAATGATGTTGAATGCGTAACATAAAATTACGTTAAAAAACATAAAGTTATGTCAGTTAGGTTTAAGCTATGTTACTTTGGTTAGGTCTAGGAAAAGTAACATGAATACTCAAAGTTCATACGGTTCCAAACACTGATCTACTGGGGAAATGCCTCGGGGAAAAAAGCCTGTGTTTTCTGACCCATTCACCACCCCAGCCTGCCTCCTAAGAGAGGCTGCCTCCTTTTTGACTCCTGTTGGCACATAGGTCACTTGATTATTGCCTTTCAAATGGGGCCTCTAGACTTCTAATAAGAATCCCAAAATGACCCCCAAAGTGAGAGAGGTTGCCAAGATAAAGTTATTTGATGTGGACACTGTCCATTTCGATTTTGCTTGCATTCAAAAACTGGGGGGCTGCTGATTGGGATCCTGAGCATTTAGAGAGGGCGAAAGGTACAGAGGGTTGCATGGCTTGATGAGAATGATTGATAGGAGGCCAGATTTTTTTCTACATATTCTGGGGTGCTGAAGCTAAAATATGGATGCACTTATTTTTGAGTCATAATTTCACGTCATGTATTTTGTACATTCCACACGTAGATGTATTTGTAATTACAAATAAATAGGGCTTAAAAGTAACAGAAAATCCCATTATGAATTATTTAAAATTGACAGCATCATATTTCACCAAAAAAGCTTTAAGGGAGCATATGGTATTTTATTGACTCATTTATTCATGGAAATCTGTGTTTCTCTACAAACTATTAAGTAGTAACTGAAAATCATCATACAATTTTGCCTTTAATTCCCTTTAGGAAGAGCCTGGTAATGTTACAACACACACAAATCATTATTTTTTCAAAATATACACTGAAGTGCTATGCACTGTGTATTTATACGTATTTATTTTCTTGTACACTTTTCAACAATTGCAGTGCTGCAGTATCATTTGCATGCAACCATTACAACCCATGTCAACACAAACCCGAAATAAATCATAATTTGTCAAACAAATTATACATAATATTCAACATTGAATAGAAATCTCAAATATATTCAAAGATTAATTCACAGCATGTTACTTCTTTTCTTTTCCCATTAGATGTTGTTTTGTATTCTTCTCTGGCTTCAGTAAAATAATGTAACATTTTGGAACAAACAGGCAAAACAACAAGCCAAAGCTGGAAGCTAGAATGGCAAATGACTCCACTGCATCCGCATAATTCCCAGGGGAACTGATATAAGCAGGGATGAATGCTAGCCATACGACACAGAAGATCAGCATGCTAAAAGTGATAAACTTGGCCTCGTTGAAGTTTCCCGGCAACTTACGTGCCAAAAAAGCCAGTACAAAGCACAGACAAGCCTGTAGACCTATATATCCCAGAACGCACCAGAATGCCAGGCTGGAGCCCACACTACATTCCAGTATGATCTTTGAGCGTTTGTATTGTGTATTTCGGGATGGGAAAGGGGGAGCATCAATGAGCCAGGCAGTACAGATAACCACTTGAACCAGAGTGCAGCTGAAGATAATGGCCCTCTGTTGCTTAGGCCCCAGCCACTTCATGATGTTGTCTCCTGGCCTGGTGGCAGTGAAAGCAGCCAACACCACCAGAGTCTTCCCCAGGATGCAGGAAATGCAGAGTGAAAATGTGATGCTAAAGGCAGTGTGACGCAGCATGCACGACCAAGTTGTTGGCTCACCAATGAACACCAGGGAACACAGGAAACACAGAGTCAGAGCAAAAAGGATAAAGTAACTAAGTTCAGAGTTATTCACACGTACAATGGCAGTGTTTCTGTGGTAGAAAAATACTGCAAAGACAACTATAGTGAGGCAGGCACCCACCACAGCGATGACTGTCAGGGCTATACCCAAGGAATCATAGTCCAGGAACTCCACCTTCTTGGGGATGCAGGCTGTTCTGTTGTTGTTTGACCAGAAGTCCTCAGGGCAAAATATGCACTCTATTGAATCTAAAGAGAAAAGCATTTGAAAAAATGTAGCTCAAATATTCAGCACACAAATATTGCCTGATGGTACTAGAATATATTAGATTTGAATTGTGCCTTTTGTTGCTTGGCTTTAAGCTCACTTGTCTGATTGCTAATTTTGCCACTGTCACATGGTACACAATCAAAGCAGCAAACAGGCTCCCCACGACGGACAGCCTTCCGAAACCCTGGAAGACAGCTGGTGCTGCACATAGACACTGGTACCTAGGGAGCACATAATGTGTTTAAGCTCTGCAGTGTGAAAGTCGTATGCCAAAATTATAGGTCAATTCCTTGATTTAAAAAGATAAATAAATCAAACACAACAATATTTGTTTGTTCTATCTATTAAAATGTCAGGATATGCTGCTTTTTTCTGTTGAACATCACTATAACTTGAATATCTTTGCATTCTGGAATGTTGGTTGGACAAACCAGGCAATTTCTAGACACTGTTTTTGACTCTTAGGAATTGTGGTGAGAATTTTTGAATTTTCTAGCATTTTATAGATGACAGAAAACAGTGGAGGCTTGACTGTAATTTGCACACTGATAACTGGGTTATTGTGCATAAGCTATTTAAGAATGTGTAGTTCTATTCAATATTTTTCTCATTAGTTCTATGATATCTATATAAATGCATCTCATGTCATACACTTGAAACAGTTGACTGTGTCTGTAGAATATTATCTTGTGATACAAATAAGTCAACAGTTAGTTTTAGGATTTACCTTGGTTGGAGAACTAAACTCAGAGATTTCTGCCTTTGTGCCTTTGTTTATGTTAAAAACACGTTTTTTTCTTGCTAAAGTTTTTTTAAGTTTTATGTTAGAAGAATTCCACCACAAGGAATGCAACAGGAAGTGTTAAATCACCAAACATGTCATAATGTATGGCAGGTTTTGCATCTTTACTGTGTACTCTATGAATGCAAAGTAACTTACATCAGATCCAGCTTGTCCTGCCCACCTGACTTACCTCCACCTCAATCTACAGAACTTCAACAGTTGGCATCTGATGTAGGTAAAAACACAGTGTGAGCAGCTTGCCTCACTCTGATGCCCTGCCCACATTATCCGGTTCTCCTGGATCACTAGCTCTTGCCCGGCAGGCTTGGTTCCATCAAACAACCCCACGCTGACAAATTCAATGTTCCCGCCTGTGCCTCTCTGCCAGTTGAGAATATCATAATAGGGTATGGTGTCGCCCTTCAGATCAAAGTTCACTTCCTCCCCAGCAATTTTAAATGTCACTTCCTGGAGGTAGTACTGGAGCTTGAAAATTGATAGATCATATGAAGTACTCATAAAAAAGAATCAAACAATGTTTACAGTGCAATAACAGTAAAAAGAAATAAAATATACCTGCCAGGGGTGTATGTTGTTGCTTTGAGCACATGAGTTGTTTTGGAAAGGGCCACTGCCTGGTTGACAGAGAAGGAGGTTGTGCAAGGAATGAGCAATTGCATATACAGCTTTATAGACATTATAAGCCACTCTAGGGCTGGATGTATTCGTGTAGGCTGAATGCTGCTCCAACAGAGACTCCTGCCCTGAGCAGGGCGGCAACTGGGAGCCAGGTGACAAAGAAGGGCTGCAACCATACAGGGCCTCCCACAGCTCCTTAACTAGGACATTATTGGGATACATCTGAGGGTTGACTGTCTGCAGATAGTCACTGAGTCTGGAGATATGACCTTTTCTGATGGCAAACCCAATGGTGCCCCCTAGGTAGGGGTAATACTCATTCCCTGTAAAGATAGATGCTGTGACCCAGGCCTCGCTAGCCACCCACTGGATTCCAGTGATGTTTTGTGTCATGTAGTCCCTCAAGAATGGTGTCATCTCCCCCTCGGCTGAGAATACCACCACCACTTTTGCCAAAGAGCCACGCATCACCTTTACAGAGAGGCATGTGATGGAGGATTAAAGAGTTCCACAAGAGAGGAAGCAAAAATAATGCTGGTTAAAATGAACACTGTGCTACACTCACATAATGTGAAATAATTGCATTTATTTTCTTATGTCTTATTTCTAAATCTGATGGTATGGGCTGAAAGGAAGACTATAGCAAATTTCACTAGGATTGTATGATTTGTATGACATAATAACATAAAAAAAATTCCCCACCTAGGGACCTTACTGGCAATGATGTATAACCAGCATCCACTATAAATGGGACTCAAGGTGATAGTAGCTCAGCATGTCTTTTTATCTACCTGCATGATCTCCAGGGCCCTCTGGCGACTGTAGAGCAGAGGGATCATTTCTTGGTATGCTACACACACTGCAGTACCCTGTAATTCTCTTAGTAAACCTTGGACAGCGAAGCGCCCATATTCATGGTCCCCGCGTACCAGCCCAACCCAAGTCCAGTTGAAGCGTACAAGCAGCTGAGCAATGGCTTTCACCTGTGTTCAACATAAATGAATGCCAGTTTAGTTGGTCTCAAAAAACAGACATCTTTTATAAATAAACTTAAGTAACATAATTTTAATATTACATGTTTATTAGTATTAATGCTGGTAAATGATAAAACCATAATAAAAATATAATAGTAATATTATTGCAATATTTTGTGTTTAGTTATTTGGTCAGACAATATATCCACAGCACTCTAAAATTATCAAGCTCTTTTTAAATCCAGCCAAACTCTCACTTGATAGTCATCATTAGGGATAACTCTGAAGAAGGTGGGATATTTTCTTCTGTCAGTGAGACATGCACATGAAGAAAAGTAGCTGATCTGTATAATGAGGAAAAAAATCAAGAGTATAGTAAAACACATAATAGGAAAACATGCTAAAGTTTTGGGGTAATTACAGGGGAAGACAGTCATCATTACCATTGGAATTTTGAATGGCTGCAAGATTCTTGACACCACAATAGACTGAGCAGAGCCAGATTCTCCAATTATAGCAAGGAGAGGAGAGGCACTGCTGCACATAGGAGAGTTGTCCTCACTCAGCCCATTCAGCACAGCCAGAGCAGCTCGCTGTCCAGTCAGTGGATATGCACATGAATCAAAGATTTTGTACCCAAGGGTGAAATTGGGCAATAGTTCTGTACTTTGGTTTATCTCCTCTACCGCCAGCCTCATAGTCTGAGCCCAGCGGAAAGCCCTTGGATCAAAGCTGTAGCCCAGCAGACACAGATGCACATCAATCAGTTAAATCTAAAAAAGCATGGACATGTTTGATTTTAAATGGGTTTTTCTAAGATGTTTACTTGAAATACCAATGTAATATGGAACAAATGTAAGGGAAAAGTAGATACCGTGTTCAACTGGTACATATCCAAGTTATTAATTCCAAATACAAATAGTACCAAATTACATAGTTCTTTCCAGGAAACTTATTCGGAGATTATTTGCAAACAATTATGGAATCACACATCCATAAAAGAAAGCATTACCATGACCATATTTATTATGTATATCTCTCTTTCTCTTTATTTTCTGGAACCTAAATCTCTATTTAAACTCAAAGAGCAAGTCAGTTTAAGCCATAACTATTTAAATTTATATTTTCTATCACATCAATTATCACCGTATAGTATACCACAATAGTCATATGCTGCATAATCCTGAAAGTTTGTACAACAATCAAACACCTTTTTTATTGTACACAGTTGGTTAAACACATCCACTATGATTTCTACATCTCTCAAACTCACCCATTGCACTTTACCGGTGGTGGTCTGTAGGTGCAGTTTAGATCTGGCATCTCCTGGTTATAGTGAAGGGGGAAGATACCCCCAATGATAAAGTCACCTTTGGCCACAAATCCTGGCTGAAAGCTGTTCTGAAGTGTGCATGCTTTGGCTGCAGAGGTGAAGCTGGATGCTGGATTATACATTGTAGTGAGGATGCAAACGGAGTCAAGCAAGGCAAACAACGCAAGTAGAGTCATATTGTCAAATTTCTCCAAAGAGGGGGAAGAGAGCCGAGAGCAGGGAAGTAGCCAGTTATATACAGTATGTGACCTTGGCATTCATACATCTTATTAATGACAGAGTGACGTTGGATCAGCAGCCCCGCCTGATTTTGTGAGTTAATGCAAAAAAACACCCTACACTCACTTTTCAGTTTATTAGGTACACCTAATTAAAACTAATACAGTATGTTTACCCCAAATGAAAATGCAAATAGTTTGAGCAAATAAATTGCACGCCACTTTATAAATCTGAGCCCTTTTGTCTCTGTGAGCTTATCCACACTGAAACCAAAACTTTCTTTATTAAATTAACGATTAACATGGTTGCCCCTAAACAAATATTTGTTTTTGCCAAGACAGAATTAAACTCTCACATAAAAAAAAAATAGACATTATTAAAACTGGAGTCTTAAGAATAACTTGAGTAAACTTTACATGGAGTTAAAATGCATCCTCTGGGTGATCTTATATCATAACATACTTCACCATAAATCAACTCCACATTAGGGATTACCTGTCATTCCTCTTTTTAAGAAAGAAAACTTTTCATTCATTTAATATTATAAATGCTATTAAAGAGTTGATAACACACAGTCCAGAGTAAAAATTCACTAATATAATGGTACAATGTAAATGTTACACTGTTAGATTTTTAATGCTATAAACTATGTCACTGGATATCAAATTGTTTTCATATTGTAAAATCATTTGTCTTAATCACTGTTTTACTGCAATGTCTTAATATAATAATAGTATTCAGTGTAGTATTAATTTGCAATTAAACACCATTTAAATGTATTATTCTGTGTTGTAAAACCATATGTAAATACAAGAGGACATGTATTTTGATAATGTAAGCTAAAAGACGTGTATCTGGTATGTCCTATCTTGTCCAGCTACACATGCAACTGCTGCCCCACCCCCACCCTTACGACACTCCTGATTGGTGAACTAAATTTTTGTTTGGCGCTCAGGTGATGCTACAAATACAGGCCTCCAGCATAATGAACTTGTCTTCTGTTTTGCTAGATTCACTAGACTCAGAGAACGATTTAGAGGAGAGATGGCTAGAGATTGAGAGGTATTATTGCAGCAACTTCCAGCAACTTCCCTGAGCTGACTTTGGATTTTCCCTTGTGGATTCTTTTGAGGACTTGTTTTGGAACAGTGGAAAAACTAACAAATACCATTGTGATGATTTTTGTTTGTTTTTGTGTTGTTGTTGTTTTTTTTGTTTCTTATGATTTTGAATTAAGTGTATTTTCATGCCTTAAGGAGGCAGCTAACAGTTAAGGACAAAGCAAAGGGCCACAGGCTGGAGTCGAATCCAGGCCGCAGCGGCAACAGCCTTGGATATGGGGTGCCTGCTCTACCACTAAGCCACCAACACCCCAACAGAGGGACTTTTATAAAGAAGGTGCACAGTTGTGTCTGTGTTTCATAAGAAAAAAATGGCTTAACAGCATTGTTTGTTCACAATCTGGGATAATTTTGTATATTTGCATTATAATAAGCTTTTCAGATTCCATTTTTAAAAAATACATTCCCTTCTTGTGACAGTGATATATCGTCAAATGTGAGTTTTACCTGCCGTGAAATATTTTCATAGAGCGGTACTAGTAGTTTTACTTAAACGGATAGTGTGGATTTTTTTTTTTTTTTTAAATGTGGTTGTATGAGGTATTTATCCATAGTCGGTGTAAATGGCAGTGATGACCCATGGAGTCAGTAGTAAGTAAGGGATCTGAATACCTCCACCACTGTTTCCTAGATGTATTAAAAAAATGTAAATGTACACTTTTTGTGGGCTAAAATGTCTTGTGATGTCACGATTAATCAGGTGTGTTTATATACTTTCAGATGCCTCGTGACAAGTCCTTCCGCCATTCTCAGGCAGCTTGCGTGAGGATTGCAGAACACCGTACTGTAGTTGTAGGACCTCTGCAGGCTTGCAACGACTCCTGTGCACTTATGTGTAACTTAATTCTCTTTTTTAATTTTTTTTTTTTTTATAAATAGCCTGTGGTCCTGGTTATTGCCTTGCCATGCTGCAGTGCAGTCCAGTTTCATCCCTGACTGGATGCAGTTACAAATTGGTCATTCCAGCTGGGGCATCGGACAAGAAGGTGTTATTGTTTTAGAATTTTTAAGAACAAATTCTTGATGCAAGGAATTATAAATGATTTTAATTGTAAAACATCCTTTCTGTTGTTTCAGGTCATTCTTGTTGTAGGAGCCCCCCATCTATGAGCCCTTGTAGATGGTTTTGTGGTGATGGCAGAGGGATGCATCTCCTTTGGCTTTATGTCCACAGCAGGGGCCTGTGTGACTGAGTTGAGGACCAAGTTGCTTCATGCTGCTGTCCCTTGGACACCCAACGCAGTCTGTGATATGGCCCCCAGCAACAATCTGACAGCAAGGAGAACCATAGACAAGGCAGGAGTGGACTTCTGCGAGCTCTTTTTGAGCACCTGTGGTCGTGGCCAAAGGTATGCTCATTTTCTAGTCGGTCATCATTGGTACTATAAGCAATTTGGTTATATTACGTGTTGTGTAATATATATATAATCTTTTAATTATGGACTTTTGAGGAAAAAAAGTATGTTTGTAATAAAAGGCTACTGTTTTGTACAGGTCTTTGTCCACGACTTCACTCCTCATCTGAACATCAACATGGTTCTGCAAGATATCATGCGCCAAGAGTTTCGCCATGTGCATGGGTAAGTTTAAAAAAATTCTCATCCATTTCTCATGTATGTTTTTACTAAATTCACCTGTACAGCACTTTGATGTAAAGTGCTCTATAAATAAATTATTAAGTGCAGTTACATGTATGACAGGTTATATCTTCATTGGCAAACTGATTGAATAGATACTGTAACTGTTGAAAACACCATGGTTTTTAATTAAGTCTGATAATCAATTAATTATTATCAAGTTAATTATGAGTTAAAAATTTTAAGTTAAAAATGATAAAGTACATTTATGCATTTCATTCCACTGTTTATTTTTCCTAGGTCACAGCAAAACCAAGAGTTGTGGCTTTGTCCTCCAGGGCTTCAGTGACCAGTCCTACACAAGAGGCTGTGGCAGAGGACGTTTGTGTAGTTTGTGTAAAATGTCTAATATTTTTGACAAGCACATACAGACCTATAGCAGTATAAATAATGATTAAAAACAACACTTCAATATTATTTACATTAATTAATAGATACTTTTAATTGGTAGTCTGTAGGTTGCATCAAATTACAGATTCAAATAAAACCAAACTTCATTTAAATTTTCTGCAGTGTATATCTGTGTAAATAAAATTAACAAAGTCCAAACAAACAGTAGAATACACACAAGCAATAATTATGTATCAATACACAGTGGTGGAAAAAAGTTTTCTGACACCCCATGCATTTGCGGAATATTGCATTAAGAATCACTCTTAGGTCTTCAAGTGCAATTTCTTTTAGTACAGTCACAGCCAAAAAACTTAAAATTGATTGGTTCCATAAAAATACATAAGAAATTTTGAGTATTGGGTCATTTTGGTACCAGTGATGAAGGTCATTCCTTTTATTAAAAGACACAATTTTTGTTGCCAAGCTTCGTGTCTACATAAAGCCAGCACATTTGAAAGTTCTTCAGACACAAAAATGGCTAAAACAAGGAACCTAACGCAGGAAACACGCCTGAAGATAAAGATTCTCAGCCAGGAAGGGTACAGCTGCCGCCAGATAGCCAGGAAGTGCAGATGCAGTCCTTCAGCAGTTGGATACACTCTGCAGAAATACAGACGAACCAACAGCTTGAAAGACAAACCAAGATCTGGGCGTCCAAGGGTTTCTTCAGCAAGAAATGACCGCATCCTGATCCGCATGTGCAGGCAAAACCGCCAAATGACATCACAGGAGCTTCAGCAGCAGTGGTCAAACCAAACTGGTGTCCAGTGTTCCACCCGCACTGTACGTGGCCGACTTTTAGATCATGGCTTAAGGTCCTACAAGGCTATCAAGAAGCCCCTGATCAATGAGAGACAGAGGTTAGCCCAGCGTCGTTGGGCCCAGGCACACAAGAACTGGACAGCCAGGAATTGGAAAAAGATTTTGTGGTCAGATGAGCAGTTTCCAGCTTTATCTTTCTCCTACTAATGTGAGGGTACGCAGAAGGCCAGGCGAAGCATTATCTCCAGCATGTACAGTACCTACTGTCAAGCATGGTGGAGGCAGTATCATGGTTTGGGGATGCATGAGTGCTGCTGGTGTTGGTCATCTCACTGTCTGTGATGGCACATTGAACTCTACCAAGTATTGTACCATTCTCGAAACCCACATGCTCCCTTCTGCACGTGCACTGTTCCGTCGAGGTAAAAACTGGATGTTTCAACAAGATAATGCCCCTTGCCACACATCCAAGGCCAGTAGAACTTGGCTGCAGGAGCACAGTATCCAGGTCTTAGAGTGGCCAGCTCAATCCCCGGACATGAGCCCCATTGAAAATCTGTGGTGGATTATCAAAAGATCTGTTTCAAAGCATAAACCAAAGAATTTAGAAGAATTAAAAGCAGTAATTCAAGAAGAATGGGACAAGATTACTCCTCAACAGTGTGAAAGGCTCGTGGGGAACATGCCAGCCAGGATTAGAGCTCTACTATGTGCCAATGGCAGGACTACTAAATATTAATTTGATGATGTGATGGTTTATTTATTTTTTGTTCAGTTTTGAACACATTCTCTGTTATTTGTTGACTTTGATACCGACAATGTTGAGAACTGACATATTGAAACTGTCAAGAATTTAGTTTTGTTAGTTTTTCT